CTGTATCCCCAAATGCTAGGTTGCTCATTTTAGTTGCTTTTTATGACCTACATGAACTACTCTGCCCTCCAAAAGTTAAGGATCAGTAGGTTTTTCAAAGCTCACAATTACAAAAATGTCGGTAACATTTAAATTCACAGTTCATATGCATGACAGTAACGAATTTTAAGAAAATATATGCAAAAAAAAAAAAAAAAAAAAAATAGCTACTGCTTTTATTTTATCGAAGTGAATATTTATATAGGAGTAGTTGGAGAAAAAAATGCAAAAATTGTAATTTTTGTTCACAAGTGTTGATCTTCAGTTGTTATTACACTTTCGTGGACAATATCCAGAAGTCGTTTGCCTGATTCGTTGAGGTGACGGGCAAGCAGACGGATGGAAATGGGGTTGTCACAAGCTGATGCTGCTAGACATCCCAATGTCTCTTGTAGTGTGGTTCACTGACTATGGAGTCAGTGTGAATCTGAGGATGCTGTGTCTAGCAGACGTATTCCAGACAGACATAGAGTTACAACACCTGTGGACCATCATTTAGCTCTTTCGGCTCGAATGAGAAATACATTACTATGCCTAAGCTTATGGCAGATCATATAGTGGCAACAGAAACAAGAATCTCAGCTTCTACAGTGTGCAGATGGCTGCACAATACAGGTCTGTATGCAAGACGACCAGTTGTTTGTGTGTCTTTAAACTAGGGACACAGAGGTGTCCATTTATGTTGGGCAAGAGAACATGTCTCCTGGGCCAATCAACAATGGGCACCTGTTCTCTTCACAGATGAGTCCAGGTTCACATTGGAGAGTGATTCAGGTCATCAGCTGATCTGAAGGAAAAGACCCAATAGATACAACCAATCCCACATTGAGGAAAGGCATAGTTACAGAGATGGTGGAATAATGATTTGGGCTGGGATCTCTTGGTGGTCACACTGACCTTCATGTGTTCCGTGGAGGAACTTTGACCAGTCTGAGATATCAAGACAAGATCCTTGATCAATATGTCCATCCATTTGTTGTGCTGCTGTTGGCCCTGCATTTTCTTTGCACCAAGCTCGGGTTGCTGAAGAATATCTTGTGAGTCACAATAAGGAGCGGATGGAATGGCCAGCTCAATCCCCAGACCTGAATCCTATCAGGCATCTTTAGGAGTACCTTGGGAGACAGATTGCTGCTTTAATCCATTCAGGACCAGTGTAATGTAATGATGCAATGATTCCACTCTTACCAGCTTAGCGTTGCGTATAAGTGAAGAGCTCCGATCAATCTCTTTGGCTTAACATCGCATGTATGTAACTTGAAAACGGAACAATTTAAGGAACATGGAACGATCATATGGCTTTTCACTTTCATGTATCGGCATCACTTTCTGTTCTGTGCTTCTGGTTTTGACAGATTTATTGATGTAAACAATATGGGAATCAGCTGTTTAAGGTAAAGGGAAATGGGTATGTTTATTTCGTTAGGAATTTTGTTTTTTGTTGTCTTCGTGTTTAATGTTTGCATTTTTTGTTATTAGATTGTGGGGGAAATGTATCCAACCCCCCCTTTTTTAGGAGAATGTGGGAAAACACATCTAGCTGGTGTAACGTCAGCGAGCTTTCGTGATGGATAAACTCAGACCAGTTGTTCTTTTCTATATTTATTTTAAAACTTAACATAGACTTTCCTAAATTATAATTAAAAAGTAATTTTGTGGCATTATTAGAGAAGGAGAAAGATATCAGCTTTCTCAATATGTGATGCACGTTACTTGCTCAGCGAAAAAAGCCATCATTGTCCTGTGTGTCGATTCTCATTTTGAATTATTCCACACACAGCAGAATTATTAAATTGGAATTTAATTACCTACAGATAATGCTCAAATTTCTTTTACATTCCGTATTTGTAATTTTGTTTTAATGTGTATAGTATTTGTTTTCATGCTTATAGTTATAAATTTATTATTTTGCATGTTTTATTTATTCCTATTAATGTGATATCTTTATATTAATACACATTAATAATTAGTATGATAAGTACATAATGTCAAAATTCGAGGTCATTATATTAAAATGATCTTATATGAATTTGTTTGTAAAAGTAGGCTTAACTGCTAAAAATGCGTGGCCAGCGGTGACGTTCCATTTCCAGGAATTCGGTCCCATGGCTGTGCATCGATCTTTGTGCACTCGTCCTGAAGTGGTTAAGTCCTCCTACAAGGTCGTTTGATGAGTTTGAACAAGGATTATTATATGTCTGGTTGTTGCTTCCCATTTCACTGACCAACAACTTAATTAACAGCATGGAACATCAGTGCTGCCAATGTATTGCAGCTAGGGCTGGACACATTCCATATTAGAACCCATTTTTGTAATGTTACCAACCCATTTTTCCTCAAAAAACTGTGATATACTGTTTCTCCAAGACTGGATTTCTCTGCCAAGTGTTCATTTTTTGTTGTAATTCATGTTTGTGTTGAACTTCAGAAACATTCTATGTCACATTCATTAAAGAACTGTTTAGTGAATATATCATGTAAATTTCTTGTTTCTATGTTGCTTCATTCTCAAATTAGACACAGAAAATATGCTGTGTCTTAACTTTTGGAGAGCAGTGTATAATTGGGACTACTACAGGCCTGACCACCATTGTGTAATCAATGTGTTTACCTAATTAAATAATGCAATCCTAGATAAATGTACAATTCATTAACAGCTACATTGGGATCACTTATTTTATCTTATATTGGATAATTGTACCGACATAAGAATAGCTTTACAGCTCATTTTGTTATATTAAAGATTATAAACTCTTGTTTCAGTACTAACTAATTCAATTTTGCATGCTACAGATTCAATCCAGGAATCATTTAATGAAAGTTTAATTTTTATTCTGTTGGTGGCAAATTTTGGCCATGGGAAGGAGAGTTAACATTTGGTTTTGGTCAAAATGATTAATTTTCATTGTTTTAAAATGTTTTTAATTATATTTGCTCTTGTTATTTCTTTCCTGTTTGTGTTTGTTAAATGTATGCTTTTATTAATTATTAAAACTTGTGAATTTAAAGAAATGCTCTTCCAGTTTAACCCTCTGAGCGGCCAGGGCTTTCGTTCAGAAAGCAAAAATTTCCCAAAACTGCTATGAGAACAAATTATTTTTCTGATTTTAATGTAAAAATTCTCTTGGTATTTCATACCTGGATTTGTTTTCTTTTGATATATTGCTTTAATTTTTGACATATTTTAATATGCACATATATATACATTCTTACAGATATTATAAAAAATATTCTATCCACTTAGAGGGTTAAGAAAGGAGAGATTGATTTTTCTCTTCTGAAGCTTTAGTGAAATCTTAAATAATTCATCTCCCACAAGCTTTTAAAAATACTTTTTAAATGACTTTAATATCTGAATGTATAATTAAAAAAAATTAGGCTTGAAATTTGAATATTCAATGAAGAGAAGCTTTTCAGCATATCTGGTATGTATCATATACGGCTCAGTGATCGAAACTTAAAATATTGATAAATACATTGAAAGCAAATAGCGCATTACTTTTAACCCCTTCGCGTCGGGTAGCGCAAGCGCGCGCTTACCGCGGAAGCCGGCAGTGTCTTAGGCGAGCGTCTGTCCAGGGCCGGGGGCTTTTTTGGTATTAATTTGCTTATTGCTAAATCCATGAAATTTCCGAAGTATTGTTTAATAATGCTTTATGGAGTATTTAAACGGCTTATACTTTATAGATATTTTTATATATACTTTAATTACCTTATTTCTTGTTTAAATGCATATTTTACACGTTTTATTTTCATTACTCACCATTTTATGACTTTTAACATTATACTTCTGAAAACTAAATATATTACTTAAAATTCTCTTTTCGTATGAAAAATTTGAAAACAGGGATCTACACACAGTCCTATGTTACATTCTTTGCACTCGTAATAACTCATTTGCCGTTTTGGAGAATTTTTCCGGGAATGTGAACCGAGCATCGGCATTTCATCCTTTCTGCATTTTGGAAAATTCTTTCATTTCATTCAGAATTATCTGTTTCAATTTCGCTACATGCTTGTAAAATTTCGACGCTTTGACATTGCAACGGTAAAACAGAAAGAATTCACGTCTAACAAGATCTAATTATTTTCTAAAAACTGAACTGCAAACCGAAATACCCAACACTTTAGCGAAAATAAAACTTCTCTACTTATAATAAACAACTACCACATTTTGTTTATAAAATCAAAAACACGTGTATGTGAGTCATGCTTCTCTCATTTCGAGTAGAAGGTCTAATGTACATGTATCTGAAACCATATGGACATACAGTGCCATCTTGTGGCAGAAATTATAGTTTTTAAAACGTTCCAGGACACTGGCACAAATACGTGACAGTCGGGACTGAACGGGAAAATGCTCTGGCACGCCTGTGTGTCGGCTGGGAAGTGAGTGTGTTCATTGCTGGCACGTAGACGTTACAGTCGGCGCGAAGGGGTTAAGAATATCAGAAGGAAAGAAAAGTGTTATCAGTATGAAGATTACTGCTTATGTAGAGAAGTGGAACAAAACTTCCTTTGGGAGAAGGACACTGAAAATTTTTGCATTCACTCAATTTCCCCTTGGAGAAGTACAGTAGTGAAAGAAAACCACATTGAAAGACCTGACACTATTTGTGAGATAAAACTTGAATTGATACAATTTAATATTCAAAGAATGTTTATAGAATGACACAGCTTAGAAATCACAAAATATAACTCAAAAAATAGATTATTATTATAACATTGAACATTTATCATAATAAATAACCTAACCTTCTTAAACATTAAATTTTCTAAGTATATCTATATATATATCCAAGTTATATTTTACTTTTATTTATCTTTGCCTGCATGTAAATTTCAAAAAAAATATTTAATGTAATTTATTGCATTGTTTATTAATGTGTATGATGTGCGTTTATTCAGTATATGTATTTTTTTCAAAAGTTAATGATCATTGTGTAATTTTTCCATTATAGTATTGTTTGACAGGACTTATTGAACCAATAAGTCCTGCTGTGAAAGAAAATTATTTTCTTAACAGTTTTGAAACAGGTAATTTTATTTTGTTCTCAGTTTAACTTCAACCTTTTAAACAATTTGTATGGGCCTTCAATGTACATTTTTTCTCTTTCTTCCAAGCTGTGCAAATTTTAGAAGAAGTTCAGTCACCTCATGTAAAGCTTCTGTTGGTATAGTATAACTTTTTAAATTCTTCATTTACTATTTGTATATTAGATCTGAAATAATGGATTACTAGAATCCTGTTTATCCAAGTGAGTGATGGCTGAGCCATTTTGGATTACATGACATATTTCCAGCACTTGAAATATACTTGTATTTCAGAAATAAATATATGTGGTATTTTTAACCCTCTGTAAAGGCTGTTTAGGCAGTTCGTTATGAATTGTATTTGAACAGCTTTTACTGGCTAGAATAATGTTATATTTTATTTTACTGTTTGTTTAAATAATATAAATCAGGAGTCAGCAACCTTGTAGCTGTGGTGCTCCAAACCTAACTACCAATATGATTCAGGGTGCACAGTTGGAAATATTTGAAACATTTCGATTCCCGCAGCAATGCATGCAGAGTTAGGGAATAGAGGTCAAGAATAGAGATTCAGAGTTTTATTAAGTACTATCAGCTACATGGCCAGCCTTCGTCTGGCTTTTAAGTGTACCGGGAAAATGCCTGAAGGGAACACCAAACGTTAAATTTAAAAACTGCACACAATATTACTTCGCAGAACAACTTCATCCAAAAAAACAAAACAAAAAAAAAAAAAAAAAAAAAAAAAAAAAAAAAAAAAAACCACAAATTAAAAAATGTAATACATACAACAAAATTACAATGAAATAAGCAATATCCCTTAAAACAAATATTAATTATCCTAATAAATAAACTAACTAACTTCCTGTTCCCTTCTCTCAACAAACGTCCAGTATCCAAGAGAAACATTAAATTTAAAAACTGCTCAGAATTATCGCCCTCGTTTTTCCAAGTGACAACAGTGCTGATTTTCAACAGTCAGCAGTCCAGTATACAGTTGAATGAAAAACTGTTGCCACATTTCTAAAAGAATGAAACTATCCAAAATGATGCGATAAAATCGAAAAGATGAAATTTTAAAAAATCTGATTCGAATTTTGAAAAAAATTGCTTCGAGGTGCACTGGCTCTTGTCTAAATGCACTTATATATACCAAATTTTGTCTATTAGCTTATGCGCAGCACAAATGAAAGACAGACTCTTTCTTTTATTATATGAAGAGATTAATTATTCATCATTTAAGGTACTTATTAATATAAAATAAACAAAAATATAATTATCCATCACTTATAAATAAAAAATTAAAATTGTATGTATATTATGTGTCTTGTAGACATAATTATTAAAATAAACAACATACAATTACAACATAATAGCAAAACAAAGGTGCACAAAATCATTCTTTTCATTATTTTCATTGAGAACAAAGCTAAATGCAACAGTTTCTTATAATCCAGAATTCTGATTTGTTGTTACACTTTCTGCTATTTCAGTTATTTGTCTTTCAGTGGTTTGCGCAGAAACCGATATTTCTTTAATTTAGGGAGTAGTAGTGTTTGTAGATTTGGTATATCGCTGAACAATAGTTCAACACTATTTAAAAATGTGTCCCTTAATATATTCACCATCTGTGAAAGTTTCACATTTGGCAACTACACAGTGAGCAGTTATGAAACTACATTTGTCACTTTAGGTTTGGTTCTGATTGTTTACAAAAATGTAACTTGTTTCTTATATCCAGAAACAGCTGTTTTTATAACTTCGAATTTCTCATCGAAATTCTGAAGTGGGAGCTAATGTATAGTTTGAGAAATGCCTTTGTATACTTAATTTGCAACACATAAATTTTTGTGAATGCAATTTTTTTTGTATACGAATATTTATTCATTCGTCCAAGAGTCTTAAAAAGTGGGAATATCAGTCTTTCCCTCTTTAGTGAACATTTAAGAGGATATATCTCTATGTGATAACTTTGTAGATTGGTGTAGAGTGTCGCTGAGAATTGTACTGCATGCCATGACACCTGATCTAGATCAAGGATTTCCAAATTTTTTCTTGTATTGACCCATTTAAAAGAATGTTCATCAACCCTGTGATGTAGTGGCCGAAACCGCTACACAAACCCCAGGTTGTAATACAGGGTTGAAATGAACTTCTAACTTAAGTTATAAGAATACCTGAATTTTAATAAAATAAAAACATTAACAATTGCAATTCTTGACAGTATGGGACTTTGATATATTTAATCCCATAATTTCAGAATTTCGTTACCAGGAAAAATGCTCTATTGCATTATACACAAGGAGAGATAGTTCTAGCGAGCCAACATGCCTATAGCTCCAGCAGGAAAAGTTGTCCCCCTCTTTTCAGGAAATCATGTATTATATCTCACTCTGTTTACTTGCACTGAACTCCCGGAGGGGAAAGATTCCTTCATTCGTACATAACAAAAGTGTTTATTTCCTGACCCTGATCAAAAGACTTCTTTTATCTCTATGTCCATTGAAGTGACCTTCGAGGCTGCAACTGGAATCATTAACAAAGGCATCTCTTTGCACAGGATTTCACCACTGATCTAAAAGAGCTGTCAATGCATTCTGAAATCATTCATCCTAGACAAAGAACCTCTATGCGACCTTATTACAACCCCTTACATTTTTCTCGATAATGTACAGCATCCAACATAATCATAATGCAAATAATTGCACATGAATAACTCAAGTAAAACAATTATATTTATGTTTATTTCTGTATTATTTTAATTTTTCAAATATAAATAGTTTTCAGACACAAAATCAGATTTTAATTGCATAAAAATTCAATTTTAATAAATCTAGTGTCTGCACTATTTCTTATTTTACATAGCAGATGGCAGTACCAGACTTTAATGTAATTGGAGATGATTAATTTTAAACTAAATGTCAACACTGGGCAAATAAATACGTATTTCACAATGTTTTGCTCAGTTTAGGCTTTTGAATTCATGTAGTTTGTGTTCTGTGATAACACATGTATTTTAATGTTGTTTGCATCATGGAGTCAGTCAGAAAGTGACAAATTCTAGTTTTATTATAAATTGATCTGAGAATCATTCTGATGAAATAGCCGATTTCTATGAAAGTTTAGAGAGTGAATCTGAGAACAATAATGATGGAAGTCTACTGTTGCCTGAACAAGTGTGGACTAAAATTATAATCTTTAGTAGACCACGGGCTCCCACATTTTTACTTTTGGGGAACAGCAAAGGTTAATGTAAGTTTTGATCCAAATTCTGGTATCTTATATTTTGTAAAAGACAATTTAGTGAGTTTGATTGTTTTGGAGAGTAACAGATATACAGAACAATGTCAGAAATCTCCAGGATTTTGACTGTCCAAGAGTAGGACACCTTTGATATTTGTCACGAAAGGAGAAATTCTGACATTTATTATAGTTACCTTACAAGGTACTTAAAAAGAAGACAATAAAATCTGCTGGAGCAAAAAATATTTAGTTCCAACAGCTTTTCTGATAGCATGATGCCTTGTAATATATTTTACAAGATGCACAAGTTTCTACACTAGGTAATTAAACTTTTGATTCTAACACACATCCCGATCCCAATGTGCACAAAATTTAGCCTGTATTAGAGCACCTGAATGAACTGTTCGAAAAGCTGTAACTCCTGAATGTGATATTCTAACTGATAAAACACTTAATGCTCTTTAAAGGTCGTTTGGGATGGTAACAATATATGCGTAAAAGAAGTCCAGTATTATATATGTTAAGACACAATAACACGCTGAATAAATACTAATTCAGAAGTCAAACAACAAAAATCAGCGTTATATTTACAAAATTTTCACAGGACTAGTTTCGATGGTTTTACCGAACCACCATCTTCAGCTGCAAAAACTGCAAATGAACAAGATAGAAAATAATGATTAGATGATCTAATCATTTTAATTCTAATCATTAAAATTCATATTATTTCCTATCTTGTTCATTTGCGGTTTTGCAGCTGAAGATGGTGGTTCGGTAAAACCATCGAAACTAGTCCTGTGAAAATTTTGTAAATATAACGCTGATTTTTGTTGTTTGATTTCTGAATTAGTATTATATATGTTTTCAACAAATTATATATACCAGAAAAAGTATAATTTTTTATCTGAAATTATAAAGATTTGTGCAAATCAATTCAAGTTATATCACCCATCAAACCACTGCTAAAACAAGGATATCATACGATAACTTTCAGCTTTTATACCTCACCAAGATTGGCAGGCAGACTTCTAAAATTTCAGATAGGTACTTATGCATCTGTAAAATCAAATCGAAAAGAAATGCCCCAAGAACTGGAAGAAAAAAAAATCACAAAAGGTGAAACTGGTGTTTTTTGTGGAGTTAAAATTCTTGTCATGAAATGGTAAGATAAGAAAGATTTAACAATGTTTTTTTATGAAATGTCCTTACAAATTACATGGTAGATGTACAGTGCCATGGCAAAGTTGGGGGAAAATGCCTACAGTAGTAACAGATTATGAGAAAAGTATAAATATTGTAGATCACTTTATTGCTTGAAAAAGGAGAAAGAAATCCTGTAAGAAAATATTTTTTCTTCTGTTAGATCAAAATATTTTGAATTGTGGTCTTATTTACAAAAAAACAAAGTGGGAAAAATTATATTTGCTGTTTTGTTTGTCTTTAGTACATGGACTTACTGGAACATATTCATCATCAGACACCATTCCAAAAAGAGGCTGGCTAAACTTTGGGGATAGTTCTTACCATTTCACTTAAAGGTATTTGTCTAAAAAAATGCCATTTGATAAGAAAAGGCAACCATCAAGAGAATGCAAAGTTTGTTGTTTGAGAAGAGATGTAAATAATGAGAGATGTAGGAAGCAAATTTGTTACTACTCTCCAGATTTTGACGTTGGACTTTGCATCTCATGCTTTGAAATATTTCATGCAAGAAAAAATTATATGTATTATGCATAAATTTCCTAAAATTCTGTTTTAATGTTTAAAGTACATACTTTTTATTTTTCTCTACTTACTGGTAAACCAGTATTTTGGCACAATAATGCTGATTGTAGATTTTTTCGGAACGTTAAATTTTCTTTATTTCAAGCTAAAGAATTCCAAAAATTAAAAATGAATACATAAATTTTTCATAACACATATTTTTAAATGATGTTCTTGAATTAAAAAAAGCACCCTTTTACTGTTTTCTTGATTATTCGATCGTAAAGGTGTTAAAGTGAGGAAGATGACAATTGTATAATTTTCTTTATATTAATTTTTTATTACTATTTGTTTTAAAAATTCCTTTTTTTTAATTGAGATAGAGATTTCATTTGATTTTTGCATGTTTATTATTATATTTTTGATAAAACTTCATGGAATTAACATTTAAAAAAATAATATAAGGAATTATTAAATTGTTCTAATATTTTCACTATGTATGACAGCAAAATTTTCTTTATTTGATTTAAAAAATAAACATCATAAATTCCATGCTCAGTTTCAGGTAGTATTTTTTAAGGAATGCACACACACGCTAAATGGGAAAATTTTCAATATTTAATAATTGTACGTTTTGTAAATCAGATTTTTAATAATTTAAAATTTTATATACTCTTCTGCTATTGTGACAAGTTTCAGAAGTGTATGTTTTCATGCATATATATGTAAGTACTTGTACGTACCTACACATGTGCATACGTGCATGCATTTTCAAATTCAGTCCCGATAACAGAAGTGTGCCAAATTTTATTTAAACAAGCAATTTAGAAGTGACTTTTTTCTTTCAATTTCTGTTTGGTAAATATGAAACAACTAGTTAAAATGTAATTGCAACCACAAATTTCACTATAAATTAAAAAATGCTAAATTGGTGCTGTCTCCTTTTAAAATTTATCAATCCAAAGTTTCTTGAAGTGGAGGGGTGAAGGGAACAAGATTCTCAATTCTGTTCTGTGGAGATTCTTTGTCGTGGATGGAATGCAATTTAAACAAATAACCATCATGTGGTTTTCCTTAATTAAATTATTGAATCCATTTTTAGCTTTTGACTAAGTAGGGTACTCCTACATATAAATATATTCAGTGTTTGAACATAAAAATTTCTAAAGAATTTATATAAAAAATATGTTAATAATTGTTTATCTTTTTTTTTTTCTCCTCTGAAAGACATATTGTGTAATATTTTAGACAACATGCTAATTATTTTTTATCTTTTAGGACATATACCACTTAAAAATGTTAACAGGTACTGTTGATGGACTTGTCGGTTACCTACAATATTCAGGTAAGATCTTTCAAAAAAGAATGTTGTGACTGTTATCTTGCTGTGTTTAGAACCCTGCATAAATTATTTCATTTATTGTTTTGAATTCCCAAACTTTATGAAAATGTAATTTTTTATATCATATTGATAAAAATGGTAATGAGAAGAATTCGGAATTAACTGCAAATCATCAGCATTCTTATTATCCACACATGCAAGTAGTAGGCTTGATTAGTAGATTTCTTAAAATTGATGTTAAGGATTCTTAAGAATATTGGACTTATTAGCTAAACATTAACTGCTATTTTTGACCTGCAAACCAACAGAAGTTGTATATTAAAAAAAAATTATTCCTGTGAGAATTTTGGCATTAGCTTAGGGTGAAAAATTTAAGAATGAAATAAAATGTTCTGTGTTTATTCACTAAAACCTCATTTAAAAATTAATAAATGGAGCTTTCACCAAGGCTGTATCTGTTTTGTCAAATAAGGCTAAAATGAATGGTTGAATAAAAGTTCCTATCATTTATTGTTTCCTGCACAGTTGTTGTACTTCTTAGGATTGACTGGCATCTGACGAAGCACATAGTTTGTCTGCAGAAGCTCCTATTTTACTAATGTTTAAAAGTGGCTTTAGCGTTTTAACCTTCTAAAACCGGACCGAAATTCTCATAATAGCCTTCAGACCAGCGCGATCCGAAACAGTTTTGCCCCCTTTTTGACAATTTCTCAATGAGAAAAGTCGTTAGTACCCCTCCATAGATGCATTAAAATTTACATGTTTGTCGGATGCTGTCCCATAGTAGATGGGTTGCTAGATTTGGTTTTTTTTTTATGGTTATTTTGCTTTCATTTAAATGAAGTTCTAAATGAATAGAGCATAAATAATTATGCTGTACTGGATGAATATCCAGTGCACTATTTATTTAGAACAAAATGTATGCAATGTTTATATTTCACTCACTATTTCTGATCAATCTCGTGAATAATTTGTGAATTTTTTAACTTTGTTTTTCACTTTTCATTTATATTTTGTATTTTCGTATTAGAAATTAGTAAACGAGAACAAAATTTTACAAAATATAATAAATACGAACTAGCTTTGTAAGTCTGCAGGCTGGAATGTGATTTTTAATAACATATTTTCATTAACAAAATAATGGTAATGACTAATTTAATGAAATAATAATAATATTTATTACCATTAGATGATTAGAATGAGATTCAAAACAATTAGATTTTGAGATGAACTTACAGCAATAATAAAGCTTTACATAACAATAACAGAGATTTAAATCTGTTTTTTTTTTTCGATAATTTTGTTATTATAATATAAAAAAGAAAATCCGAGATACATTGGTTACGTTTCATCACTTAACTTTAACAAATATTACATTGGACTATCAGGCAAAGGAGGTATATCTTTAACGAGAATTTTTCTTTGTAAAATTGGCTTTTGTTTATGTTAGCAGAGAAAAAAAATCCGTGACTTATACATGCAATCATCAAAAGTATTTTTCAGAACAGTTTTAAATGTTCATGAAGAATTAATTATACGTCAATTTCTTTTCATAGATAGAAATTTCATCTAAAACCATCATTACATCCAAAGGTTGAAGTCTTTCATTTTCAACGAATATTCTATTTGCACATAATATATTTTCTAATTTGTTTTAGAAAGAGTAATCTTTCACGTTTTCAAAACAATAAGGACATACTGGGTGTTGACACTTACAACGTAGTAAATTTGTTTTTCATATTTCTTCCAGTAATGAAAACGTTTACCCTGGAATATTTTCAAAGCAAAATTAAGAAAACCGTTTACGCCGAATTTTGGAAAAAGTATCTTCTCATGTATTTTTTTTATTTAAAGTGTGAAATTTTCTCTTTGAAAATATAAAAAATCATGAATGGAGCAAAATTAATTCATGAGAAATAACTTTGAAATGCAATATTCCATCGTAATATGAAATAGTGGAGAAAAGTGCAATACAGTTTATTTATTCACAAATAATCCCCTCATATGCGTAATTTATGTACTGTCGATTGAGAAATATAGGTTAGTAAATTAAACCGGTTATTTCAATGCTTTTTCTTTATCAGTTTTTTTTACGGTCCCTTCAGTAGAGCGGTAAAGGTGGCTGAAACTTGTAGCTCTTTCGGGTTTGAATCCAGGCTAAAGGGTTGAATTCATGGTTTTTGTGTAACGTAAATGCAAGCCAGCTTCCCTTAGAAAGTCCTCCGCGAAGGCATCCCTCCCCTTATACAGGTAATTGATGTGTGCTTTGATGTAATTCAGTAAGCGAACAAAAATAATCCAATCAAACCCGAAGAACGGGTTGATTATATGTAGAGTTTTCCACCAGGAACGTAAATGCGAGCAATTTCCTCTTAAAAAAGGTTTACACAAAAACATCCATCCCCTTAAGCAGATAGCGTTCGCATGCTTTTCCGTAATCCAATCCTAATTCCTATACATTTAATAGTAAGTTGACATACACCTTATTACAGAGACAAAATTACAAGCCTTTCTAAAGATTTTTTTTTTTTTATTAACTTGTCTGAATTTCCTTTATCTCTTGAGGAGTATAAGAATTTCAGCAAATAAAACTGGCCGAAATTTTATACAATGTAACTGATGTTTTGATTCCATTTAGAAGTAACGTGAGCTTTACTGATATTTAAACACTTTTTGGCAGATCTCATCCTAAAAGAGTGTTTAAAGATAAATTGATTTTATTTAATTTACAATCAATGAAAATCATTGAAAGCAATCATTGAATGAATGAAAATCACAAAAACTATTATGCATTCAGTTGTCTCTTATTTATCTCTTGATAAATCAGACAAAATTGCCTATATAATAGAAGCACTTTGAAAGAGTTAACAGTTCTTAAGGCTTTTATGCTCTCCAAAAAAATGTCAAAATAAAATCTTATTATTCATAAGTATAAAAAAAGTAAACAATAAAAGCAGTTTTAGCTATTTTCTAGAGGGGCATTAAATCTAAAAAATTAATCTATTCTTATTTGCTATGATTAAAAAGCATTAAATCTGGTAAGCTTAAACAGCATGCAAAATCGCTGACGTTTTAATCATAGCAAAGTCAGTACTAAAAAAATTAGAGATGGCCTCTATTTGATTTTCAAGTATATAGGCACGAGACGAATTTTGCGTTTTTTCCAAAATGTAGCCAAACTGATAAGAAGAGGGAAATAATGCGTAGCCAGCGGCTATTCTGAGCAGTGACAATGGATCACTCTGAGATCTACAAATAGGTGATTCTCTAAAATAGGGAGGGAATGGGTGGTACAACAGTTGTGCCAGAGCCGGCGTTAAGGAAGGTCATTTTCCTGGTACAACTGCTGTACCAGCCGGCTTCAGAAAGTTAACCTAAAACGCTAAATTCATTTTTAAAATGAGAGAAAAACACATGTAGAGGAAGCTAGTGCCAAGTTTTGAAAAGTGGGTTACCCCCCCCCCCTCCCCATATAAACAGAAGTCATTTGAAAAAGCCGAAAACCCTTTGTTTTTTAAATATACCTGAGTTCTTTGTTGGTTTGATGAAAGGAATGAGTATTTTCTCTTTGAATCTTTTATCTATTCGTTAGTATCATTATCTTTTTATCTATTAGTAAGTATCAAAATATTTTATTACTATGATAAGTCATGATGTCCATAAATTAAGTGACTAATCAGTGATTTCTTATATCTGTTACGTATCCTTTATGTTACTGATGCATTACTCTGAAAGGTGTTTCAGCTAATGTTTGTTACAAGTATGTGTAATCACACGTAGCTGTATAACTGGTGATGATTTTGAATTGTAAGTTCTCAAGACAGAGATAGAGAGCAAAACACTTCAAAACTGATGGATAGATGATAAATTCACTGATAGCTTTGTAAAACCTCTTTCCATTTCAAAAGACTAATTGTGCAGTTCACATTTTCAAACATGTTTCCACACGTAATAAAATTCCAATAAATAATGAGAAAAATGTGAGCAATGCAACATGTTATAATACATTTTCAAAGAAAGTGTTACCATATTTGACGGCATATAAGACGCACTTTTTTTCCTAAATTTGGTCTCAAAAAAGTTACCTGCGTCTTATACGTGAAGCACACAGTCTTATACGTGAAGGTAATTGCATTCGATAATTGTTTATTTGGGTTTTACGAAACGTGAGAACTAAAAGAAACCACGCTATTGAAACTTTTATTGCTTGCGTGTGGCTGTCTAAATAAGGGTGCGTCTTATATGCCGTCAAATACGGTAATTGAGAACCAGTATAGTCATTTTACAGATAGGTTTTTTTTATGTTTTGAAATTTGACTTGTCTTTATGTATTAGTTTAAATTTTCTTTGTTTTTTAGGTAATACATTTACTGTCAAACTCCTGCTTCTGAAAACCGGTACATTAAAATTGCAATATAAAAGCATTTTTAAAAGTTTTATATGAAAAAATTTGAAAAAATTCTTTTCAGTTTCTCTCAAAAACATATTTTGAGTTTCATTAGTTTCATCTAACTGGCAATTCAGTAATGAAGTTATATTCCTAATATTTATTCTAAATTTTTTTATGCGCTTGTAGAGACAATGATATTTGCTGCCTTGCATTTATTTCAATCTCTGAAGTGAGATTTAGAATTTAGATCATAATTGTTCTTTATTTCATAAATTACGGTTTCATATTTTTAATTTTAGAATTTCTGCATGCCATCTTACGAGATTAAAACTGATGATCTATAATCCGGGAAAATCGATAATCCGGAATCGCCGAAGTCCCAACGAGTCCGGATTAACGACTTTTGACTGTATTCCAATAAATCTTCTCATATAGGCTTCAGATGCAATAAATTCAGGCTTCAGATGCAGTAAATTCTGAGCAATTTTTTTGCTGAGCGTATATATTTGTCTGTTCAATGAGAAAAGGGTAAATGTCTAAACCAAAAAGAAAATAAAAAATCTGTGCACTAGTTTTATCTTGTATTTTCTCTTTTATAGTTTCTCTTCTATCT